ATTTTCTTGAATGTTCATAATAAACGGGCATTTTTAATTCTCATTCTCAAATTTCTTTCTGAAAACGGTCATTTGCCTCGTGGCAATGAATGCAGAATTCATTCCAATGATCAAATTGCAACTATCATATTAACATGAACAAACACTCTACTCAAAAAAGGTAAAACTGCATTTATCATGATATTTATCATGAAGATATTCGACTGGAAAGTTCCAAATTTCACCTTCTTTTTCACCTGTCTTCTGGATGGCATTTAGAACAAATTTCCCTTCTTTTTTCATCATATTGGACAATTTATATATAATTCAACTATAAATATGATTTTCTTGAGATTAATCCATATTTAGTGAAAAGAAGGAAGAATATCATTCAAAATAATGGCGTGTGTAATGTCATTCGAAAGCAATCTATTGACATTTGACATCTCGTATTCTGATTGACTATTCATTAAATGGTCGTCATCTGGAATGCTTGTTCACTAAATATGAAAAACTCGCCATAAAAATCATATTTCCTGTTGAATTTTCTTTATAAAAATCTGCCATCGAAGTACATCATGAGTATATAAAGTGTCCAATGACAAAATAAGAGCAAGTAGCTCCAAATGCCCCCAACACAAGGGGAGAAAGAAGGCGAAATTTCGAGCTTTTTATTGAAATATCTCAATAAATAGTGGTTTTTTCACATTTTCATTATAAAATTCGGTTTATCAGACAAAAATACGTGAGTACCGAAAAAAAATTTTCAAAAAAAAACCATCGCATGATAAATGCAGTGTTACCCTTAAAAATTACGGTTTCAAGTGTATTATACTCTTAGTGTACCAATCGCCGGATATAGTATGTACTCACTGATGTATCAAACTTTGGTGTTACTAACAACAATTGTACTACCAATTCTATAAACTTTTAATTTAATTACCACTTATCTTGCAAATATAACTAAACCCTTGTTATGAAACTGTAAGTTCAAGAAACAATAAATTATTGATTGATTGATTGATTGATTGATTGATACGGTTTCAAGTGTACGATCCACTTGGGTGAAAAATCCAACAACAGAAAATTGAAAACACTCACTGGTTATTTTTTCAGGTAATAGGATTTCTCCAAGATAAATATAGGTAATTGTAACAAACGGCATGTCAATCAAAATAAAATACATTTTCCACAATTTTCTTTCGATCAATCTCACTCTCACCTTCACCACAATTTCTGCTAATATATTCAATTCGAATGGGTTGCTGTAGGTGGATATTTGTGTATTATCCTGGTTTTTGCTTTAAAACTTCGTTTTTCCATAATAAAATCGAATGGGGTGCGAAGAAGGGCTCAGTTGACGACTGGCATCCTTTTTTAACCGGAAGCCCTTCAAAAAACAGCAAAATCGGCTTAATGATGATCTAAAACTAAAATCGAAATACGCGGTCGCCTTATAGCGCTATAAGCGCTTGTCGTTTCGAGCCGCATTTTTATGCATATCTAGTTCTTGATTCTAATGCCATGATGGAATCAGAAGAATAAAATTCCAAATGTTACTTTCACCCTTACTTCCACGAAACTTTCAGGAGAGTTGACCAATTCAATCTCCCAATTCGGCTAACCAACGGATTGATGCATAAAACAGTTCAATATAATATGTAGGTATAACTATACAGCGTGTTCCTGAATGTTAGATACATATCGAAAGAGATGATTCCTTAACTTATTTTGGGACCGAAATTTCCTACATATGTCTGGAAGCTTGATTTTCAGCCCGTCAAAGCTGATAATATGCATGGATTCTTATTCTGTTCACCATGTGAAGCTTTTCAAGATGTCTAAATTCAGTCCCTTATAGGTATGTGACTAAAATAGTGCAAAATTTCCAATCACATACAATTGGGACAGTATGAAATTTCGAAATATCTTGCGTTGTTCACTTTAGTAAAAAACTTTATTAAGTGCGCCACTAAGAATTCGATTGGTCAAGTGATCATTATTTCCTAATAATTGAATGAAACTCAATATTTATCTTTCATCAACTGTGACACCCTCTATATCGAAATATTTTTATCGAAACTTCTAGTCCTAATATGAGCCAAAGAATGTTACCTCTGAATATTTATCTACTATAATACCATCCAGTGACTCTACTGAATATTAGTGTCAACTCTACCTCCTAATTCTGTTAGTGAATTTTTGATTCTGATTGAAATTTGAACGATGTCATCCAAAGTTTTCCAAAATTTCATATCACAGGTATATTCCTCGGGAACCATAATATTGTCAATGTTTTTCTTAATAGCCAAACTTTTGTTAGTAAGTCCTTCAATTTTCATGGCAATATGATCTGAAACAGAAAGTTTGGTACTTATACATTCATGTGTCTAGAAAATGATGGCATTTTCAATATATACATATACGTCTATAAATTGGGATAAAAATTCTCACCATGTAATTTGTTCATTTCTGTCCCTAATTTCTCAATCTCAGAGTATTCTTTCCTAAAATACGAATGAATGATTTTCTAACGAAGAATTGATCCTTCACTGACCTACTTGAGACGTTCGAAGTAATCTTTAGAATTCTCACATTCCTTCAAAGTACGGTTATCAGCATTTTGGGACAGTTCTAGTTCTTCTGATATTGATTCCATCACCTTAACTCCATCTTTCAATATAAGCAGTTGTTCGTCAGGGATTCCCTCCTCTATAGTGTTTTGAACTCGTGTTACATTTTCAAGATCCTTTATACCTGATATCATGTCATTCATGCGTTTCAGAAGATCGTTGATATTCTCGAAAGAATTTGGAATTGAAAAATTAGTTGGAGGTTGGTGAGTTCTGATGACACGATCCAATTCATTCTTAACCTTCATATAACACTCATCTTCCACACTTCTTTGGCCTTAAAGTTAAACAATAACTTGATCTATTTATTTTCACTGAGTTGCTTTTTGAAAAACACTAACCTGAAACGAAATAGTAATTCAAGAGAACTATAAAAAAATATCGCACCATGATGGTCTCGAACATCTCATTATGCAGTCTCGGCTGATTCAGAATGAGATTCTGTAATCTGTATATGTTTGTCCCAATAATTTATCTTATCTAATCGTCTTGACAATGACTGTTTCTTGATTGATACAGATCAACAATTCGAATGTATCCATACGCACATATACTATATTTATACAGTGGGGACCAAAAGTCCGCCCGTATAACTTCCTCATTTTACATATTACAACAAAAGTTGCGAGAGCTCTCAAAAAGTAAGGATATAGCAAAGTGGAATACATTGTGTTCCATTTGTTACAGTTTTCTCACTGAATTGGTGCAAAAATAGTCACTTATATAATCTCCCTAGCAGCAGAATTATTCCCGATGATATTTTTCAAGGTCGCGAATGCTTTTGTTGATAGAGGGTCGAAGACGAACACCGTAGAAAAGTCGGGGACAAGAAATGTTCTTCAGATATCTCTGCTATCATTCCATCACTAGTAATACCAGTCAGATGTTAGTTGGATTTTCATAATGCTGAAGAATTAATTTGTCATATATATTTCTTCAACCGTTTTACTTCCATGAAATTTGTATGTGATCGACTTCTTATGTTATATTTTAATTGTGGTTAGAATTTGTAAGGAGTTGTGATACTCAGATTCTGTGTAAGAACAAAAGTTGCATGGTTAATCGCTGAAAAATTAAAATAATGGAGTAAGGATATTCCTGACAATCTTAACTTCTTTACCATAATTGAAAACCTACTTTCAATTTTTTTCTTCAATATTAACTAAGAAAATGAATAAAAACGAAATCGGTCTTTTCAAAATATTTCAGAAACTTTTGATATATTCCCAATTTGCAAAAAGTCATATTGAAGGGGTTCATTACGCAACTTTTATCTAATTCATTCAACTTTATATCTCTCACCGTATAGGAAATAGCGATTTACTGTCCCTATCAAATCGTCGTGACCATGTATACCTGTAGTGATGACAAATCAGATGATTAGCCCCAAAATGTAACTGCGCATGAAATTTACCCATTTGGAAAGTATGAGAAAAATTCAATGGATAGTCAGTGACACCTTGTTGAAAAATGTTGAAAGAAAAATAATGAAGGAATATTGGAAACGAAAGTAGCAACTTCAATTCCGAAACGTCCAAAGATGAGTCAAATTCGATATTCACCTCCCTGCCTGCAATGAAATCGGCATTTTTCGATTTTGTCATTGTACGAGATATTCGAATTGAGAATTTTCAAATTGACACCCTGTATATGTGCATAACGTATATGCAAATAGATCTTCAGTTGTCCAATGACGAAAGCCATGTTATCGATACTATAGATTAATTATTTCTGACACTACACTGTTTTACCACTAACCAAACCGTGTTTCGATAACTATGATAGCATCTTCAGGAGAATATTAATACATGTAGAATTACTCTTCTCCTGAAGATGCTTACATGGTTAGCGAAACACGTGTCGAGGCATTTAAAAAATCGGTTTGGTTAGTGGTAGAAGAGTGTAGTGTATTATCGTGCCAAAGGTTCCAGTCTTCAAAATAAATTATTTCTGAGTTTTCCAGATGTTTCATGAACTCAGTTTGGTTAATTCTGTGTTAAACAAGAGAACCCTGCCAAACAGGATTATTCTCATATGGAACAAATCCTTCTCCTAAATGGTGCCGAATAATTGAGCAATAAATTAACAAACAATAAATTTGCACGACTCCAACTTCTGTCGTATCTTCAATTTCTTCGAATACGGTTCTGAGTATCTTCTTCGAGCCAACTCATCTCAATATTATCCTCTCAAATCACTCAAAATACCTATTCCTCATTGATATTCTTCAAATCAACTGAAGATGGAAACTTAGTTACTCATAGTAGGTAACTAATCAACATTTTGTGGTTTTCTTGAGTATATACTTCCTTATTTGATCATTAGGTAGGTACAAAATATGCTCCTTTTTGAATAGGAGGTGGAATTACGAATCAATAATGAACCATATTAGAAATGTAGGAAATCTATTAGAGTTCAATTGAAAATAAGTACTGAATCAGAAACATTCCTAAGGTTAAAAAAACATCCAGCCAATATTTACAAGCACAATATCGATAAAGTATATATAGTTTTCAATACTCTGAATCACCCAAATTAGCACGCTTTTTGAACAATGTAGCTCCAAAATATAGATTGGATAAGTACATAAGTGGACATTCATTGGTGAGAACCTCATGGAATTTCTCTCAATGAATTCAAATACATTATGTCAAACACATGTATAGCTTTCAGGTGGTCTTCAGAACTATGGAACAATGAGTTTCCCTCTTTGGTATAAAATGTGGCAAGTATCTATCAAACTCATGGCTCGAGTTCGACTCTCCTGAAGCATCCTTCGGGAAGAGACTGAACTATCTCCTCAATATTTTGCACGTCATCCTTCAAAGCACCGATGTCATGCTTGTACTGCTCGATCAAATTCGCTTGAGCGGAATGTTCCATCTGCAGATGTGCCAGCTTTTCTTCTAGTTTGCTATCTAGCAGCTGCTCTTCGGCCAATGCGAGTGCATTCTCCAGCCTAGTCAACTCACTATCGTCGATGTCTGGGGAATTTTGCAATTCGTTTATGATCTTCTCAACGCTGGAGAGAAGTTCTATGACTTTTTTTGACGTTTCGTCCGTATCTTTACCGGCCTTTCCAACCTGAAACATCAAAATAAATACATTAAAAGGTGATGGGAAGATTCAGAACTCTCGAATACAGTTGCTTTACAAAAACAAAACATTCCTACCCCAGCAAGCACCACGGAAGAACTATTATGGAGCATAGAGAAGCATTACATTCATCTAGGTAGATAGGTAGGCAGGTAGCCCCACAGAAGACCGAAGTACTACTGCTCACAACCAAGAGAAAAAAAGCTCTGATCCACTTCAACATTCAAGGGAGTGTGGTCGGAATCAGTACAGCCATAAAATACCTTGATATATGGTTGGACACTAAATTGTCATTCGCGCAGCATGTAAGAATAAAGACCATCGAAAAAACAGATAAGACCGTATAGCGGCCCTAAGTAGTCTAAGGCCGAATATTGGGGGGCCTAAAGCATCATAGAGGCGTATCCTTGCCAATGTGGTCCACTCTCAACTGTTCTATACCGTACCTGCGTGACACACTGTCACAAGGAATAAGAAGCTTACCCAAAGACTTAGTAGAGTACAACCGCAACGACAAAGTTGTCTACGGGTCTACAGTGCGTACAGAACTGTATCGACAGAAGCCGTGGGTGTTATTGATGGAATTCCCCCAATACAGTTCCAAATTGAAGAGGTACTTGAAAAATACAATGGAATGACTAGGACAACTGTCAATGACAACCTTATGACCCGATGGCAGGACAAGTAGAAAACCAAGGAAGGTATGGAAGCTGGACCTAGAGTCTAATACCCGACATTGAAAGATGGCTCGACACTGGCTCGACAGATCATACGGTGAAGCCGATTACTATATCTCACCCAAGCATCATCTGGCCACAGGTGTTTTAGGAAATACCAATTTGAACGACGAGGAGTAGAATCAGAAGAATGTGTATATTGTCAAGAAGTGGATGATGCTGCACACACATTTTTTATGTACCCTGAATGGCAAGAGACAGGAAGGCAGTTCGAAAGAACGAACAATACAATTTTCAACGCAACCAATATGATGCCATTTTTGATGGACTTTTTTTTGGATATCGCTACTTCAAAGTTGGGAACCAACTCCTCAGAAGTCGTAACTTGTGCGGGGCTACACTGAAAAAAAAAAATTAGTGAAATTTCACTCAAGGTCCACGAAATAAGAGTCAATTTCGGTCCACGCCCGATTGAGTTGAAATTTCACCCTACTTGATGGTGTAAAATAGTGATTCATGAACCGATTCAATCAAATTTGTTATAAACATTCTCATTGATATGAGAACTTGGTAAAATGTCTAGTTTGAGTTGAGAATTCAATCAGTAAATTCACTCACAACCACATATGCATTCACTCAAGAGGATTTTTTTACAGTGTAGGAAGAGCGGGAACTACAGCTTATAGTGGAATTCGAAACAATTCTAGGGCATCGAGGTGCTGCCAGAATAGACAAACTCGGCCACGGTGCCCTCTTACTCACTCAGAAGAAAGTTGGAAGAGAGCTTACGCAATGATAAGGCACATAATTGAAACGAAAGAGAGAGAAAGCAGAAACCAGTGAGTGATAGACATGCCGGTGGAAGAGCGAAAGAAGGAGGAGGGGTGATCCGACACTCCCGACTTTATAACCGGAGTCCCATGCAAGATTTCCCCTCCTCTATGAAAAAAAAAAGGTAGGTAGGTAGGTTGGTAGGTATAGGTAGTTAGGCACAAATTTCAGAATATTGAAAATATAACTCAAAACTGCTCACTTTTTGAATGAATTATAAGGAACTAGTATAACCTTCAAAAGTTAAGAAAAAAACCAACTGCTACCTCCTTTCCCTATCCTTCTTAGGTACGCACGTTGTTCCAGGAACATTATACTCATTATAGGAATTACTTTCGTGCGCTCCAAGAGATGAAAAGGTGGGGGACGTTTCCACGTCAGCAACTAGTCCCCAATGGGACCTTTTTGCAAACCCCAAGTGTTTTCAATGACTGATGTGGTTCGCTCAAGAGAGCTGGCTAACATCCTTTTCAGGCACCGCCCATCAGCTCTCTTATCAGAGTTTTTCAGCTGTGTTTTGTAGGCTAGTAATGTACTCACTACCATATGCGCAGTGGCAGGCCTGCTAACTATCATCGTTAACCCCCGAGACCGACGTCTACTTAAGCAGCTGGCCCGCTCTCACGCTCAGCTGGTAGTTTTCCACACCCACCTACATACACCGTCCTCTTCTTCTCTGATGCTCACAACCACATCATCATATCTTTCTGCGTGTTCTGTGTAGGTAGGTGTAGGTGTAGGTGAATTTCCTGTCAATAAATAGTGTTTCCATTTACACTGATCGCATTTGTTTCACTGCTATTCCAATCAAATTATTCGTTAACATGATTTCAATGAAATACCTATACCGTGATAATATGTGGTGCCTTGGTCGATGGTCCCTTCAGCTCTACAGCAGAGTTGTTCACATTTATGTCGCTTTTTTTTTTAATTTCAACTAAAACACTAAGTTAAAAGGCAGCCTAACGTGTGCCATAACAGAGTTTCATGTTCAATTTCAATATTTGTCTTCATTTTGATAAGATTTTTGGTTTCCATGAGACTCTGATATCGAATAAAAGATTAAATGTTCAGTGATTTGCATATTGATCTACTAAACTACTGAAACATTTCATAATCTATTCATAGATCTAAACAATAAGATGAAAGTGATATCGAGGGAACTGTAAAGTGACTAGGAAAGAGATTATTGAACATAGCCCTCACAAAGAGATAACCGCGTATACACGTATTTCGGGCTTTCGGCCCTCATCAGTACGGTGAAAGGAAGTGCAAAGGATGGGAAGCAAATGTGCGGCTGGCTCCTGTTTGTTGAATCCGTTTATTTGTTGTTTCGTTTTTACCAAGTGCTGCCCATCCTTTTGCACTTCCTTTCACCGTACTGATGAGGGCCGAAAGCCCGAAACACGTGTATATGGTTATCTCTTTGTGAGGGCTATGTCCAATAATCTCGTTCCTAGTCATAGATCTGACTAAAGATCTATGATCTACTGAAGAATATTTTGACGCTTATTTATTATTATAATTACCTATATTATTATCAATCTTCAGTTAATCACATACACTTATAAATTGCATGATATTTCGGCACGCTCTGTTTGAATTAATTTCAGAAAATTAATAACAAATGTACATATAGGTACACTCGTCTTCAGTGAACATGTAGCGGTTGGACGGTATGAGCGCTCTTCACCAGAAGCTAGAAAATACTGTATTTCTTGAATGTTATAATATAATAAGAAGATCCAACTACTCAAGAAATGGATATGAATTATTGCGGCGGTGATCAAGGGAGCTGACACCGTCCATGTGCGACATGATCTCTGAAGACGACGAGTGTACTAATGATATATATAAACCAAAAGAGACAATAATTCATCCGATCCAGATCACATTGGATTTTTTATATAACTCTGTTTTTTTTATTTGGTTTTTATTTTTGTTGTTTATTTTTACTATTCATTCCTGTTTTTTATATACTCAAATCTTATAAGTACCTATGTAACTATATTGTGTGATTGTAGTGTATAAGATAGATAGAAAATAGTTATGATAAATATTCAAATGTTATGTTAGGAAATTAAGTAGGTTAAGGATGATATTGTTTAATTAGGTATCGAGAGTGTGTTTAGATCTCTGGATATCACGTAGTCAGCATTTGACCTGATTTCGATGTGTTCTAGTTTCATTAGTTAGATGGTTAGACATTCGATGTTCGGAGATGTAATAATCAAGTTGATATCGATTATAATAAATAACATAAGTTAAAACTACGTCCAGACTTCTTATTCCAAGACAATAGGATATACTAAGGGACCATCCTATTACATGGCGATCCTGCCAGCCGAAACAGATGCTGTGCAAAATTAGAAATTAGACCAGTGAATACAACGAAAAATGGGTGGTTAGCAATCGAAAGAAGAGGTTATCATCACGCAATCAGGAATCAGTGGTGGAACTACAGCAGAAGCAAAGGGTAATAAGTACTCGCTTTTTGAAGTGGCCGCAGTTGTTATTGGTATCCTGCTGCTGATAGGAGTTGGCCTATGTTTATGGAGGAGATCAAGAAAGGCGTTGGAGAGGAAGATAAGAAGAGAGATTTCCAGAAGTAAGGAAATTGTCATTGAATGAGAGTTGGCATCGTATGGAGGTGATGGAGCTGTTGAACTAACGGCACGACTAGAATAGTGGATGCAGGACATTGATTATGGAATGTGAAGGAAAACTACAAAGCTACCAGATAAGTTTAGATTAAGTTAATCATAGGGTGTAACGATGTTAGTTATCTTCATCTATAAATGACTCATTTCAAGAATTTTTATGAAGAAGTTAGTCTGTTTAAGCGCAATATATCAAAAGATAATCAGCAAAGACGTGAGAATTTGGAAATAGTTAGTAAAAAGCTTGAGGAGGTAGGAAATCTTGAAAGTAGATTTGATAATTTGAAGAGTGCAAAAAAAAATTTTATTAGATAGATTGAGTAAAATAGAAGAAATATCTAAGGTAGTCGATATGGCCGATAAGTTCGATCTTAGGACTGCTTCAACTTTGTTGCCTCTTATGGACGGTTCTGAGGATACTACAAAACAATTAGTAGATGCAATAGAACTATACAGTGAACTTTTAGATGATGCAGGTAAAAAACTATTGATAACTTATGTTCTCAAAGCTAGGTTGTCGCAAAACGCTAAATTGAGATTAGAAAAAACATATTCTACCGTGGATAATCTGATAAGGGATATTAAATTGCATTTACTGTCAACTAGGTCCGCCGCTGCTTTGTCAATTGAGTTGCATAATAGCAAACAAGATGGAAGATCAATTGAGGAGTTTGGTAAAACTATAGAAGAGATGATGGTAAATTTAACAATATCTCAATCGAACGGTGATGATAATGCGGCTAGGATTCTCAGAGAAGTAAATGAGAAAATATCGATTAGTGCGTTCGCAAATGGATTGAGAAACTACGAATTACGTACG